AAAGCATATATTTTTCTATTATACATCATGTTGAAGCTTATGAAATTTGCTACAACTTGGTATGTTCGGAAACTGAAAGTAAGTCAGGTTTTTACGCAGTCAATTTACTTCATGTCCATTTTCTAGGGGATGACTCCACCGGCCTTGAAATTCCGAACATACCAAGTTGTAGCAAATTTCATAAGCTTCAACATGATGTATAATAGAAAAATATATGCTTTCTTGTTTGAGGGAAAAAATTGACACCACAAGCGAGAACTGTCTAGTATGTTGTATATGTAAGATTAGTCTACCGGTCCTACCACTATCAAAGCAGTGTAGTTAACTGTTATTTTACACACATTTAGTAGAGAATTTCATGGGCTATCCAATCATACATTTATGTTGCCGTTTACATGAAAGAAACATGAGAAAAACACCTTTTACATAATATGTAGCTGATCTTTGAAGGATGACCTAATGATGAGGAAATACTGGACTTATAGTCACCAAAAGCATACGAAATGACTTAAAATCAAATAGAAATATTTTTCTACCACTTAGCAAGTCGTTTTCAGGTAAAAAATAAAGTGGGCCGATTATCAATCTTATGCGGACTCTTTTTATCTTTCTCAAAATAATGCATATAATAGAAAAAATGTATGGTTTTGCTGTTCGAAAGAAAAAGAACTATGCAGACTAAGACTTTCTACTATGTTGTGTGTGGAAGAAACGATTGAAACGTATAAACGAGTGTTATTGCTATGAAGGCATCTCAATTAAATATTAGTTCCGTATATGTTATAGAATCTTAGAATACATTCAATCGTATTTGATTTAGTGGTAGTAGAGGAAGAAACGTGAGAAAACATCATCTACACTTTTTTGCAGATAACATTTGAGGAGTGATTCATTGATGCCCTATCAACGACGACATATGTTCATATATATGACATTTCTCTTAGATAAGAATGAAGGAAAAATAACATTTTTGTTTATTTCCATTGCCATTTTACTTTTTAACATTTTGAAGAGAGACATGCGGATTGATTTTAATCTGATCAGTGGGATTAAATACATCCTTATATGACCTTTTTATTTCTTGTTGGTTTAAACAATGTTGTGATTGATTATTCTTAAATAGTAGAAAAGCAACTCATAATAATTGGGACAAGGATTTTTTAGAGAACGGAATTAGAGCTGAAAAGAGAACGATTGTCTATTTATGATCAAATTTGGACTGATTAAAGAACGGTCAGAATTATGGAACGAAAAAACCGAAAAGAGAACGGAATTAGTGCTGAAAAGAGAACGGTTCAGAATTATGGGTCCAAAAGACGGAAAAGAGAACGGTCATACGTTCGAATAGTGAATTATTATCTATATATATATATCTTTCATTACCTGCAAAAAAATATTATACAAAAAAATGCAAAAAAAAAAATTCTACTTTAGAAACTGTACACATACAGCGAAAAAATATCGTTTACAACCGTTCTCTTTTCAGTCCCGTTCTCTAAACGGTGTAAAAATTTAATAATTCGCACTCCGTTCTCTATTCAGTCCAAACTCCGTTCTCTTCTCATACTTTTTCCTAATAATTGGTGAAACAGCTGAGCATCATTTTCGCCTGTTGTGTCACGTACCATATTAACGTATCATATTATTCTGCATCATTTATAGCGTTTTCATGTAAAAACTAAGTTTAAACTGCTTTTCACACATAAAGATAGTTTGTTTTTGATAGATAAAAAGTTGGATAACAGTAGATCCTTTTTCCATTTTTTGTGAGGACCTTGTAGAAATATCTATCTCTATAAGGTCGTTTAAGCAGCACAGTGTGTATACATAGGCGGATAAGATCGAAGATTCTTCAATCACTGAAGTCACATCTTTATCGGAAAGCATATATTACTCATAAGGTATACATTCATTAGGTTCTATTTTAGTATAAATCTTCAAAATAATGAACACAAAAATTGTTTTAACATGACACAAAATTGAAGAATGGTTTTGTAGCAAAATGCAAATACGTCATTTATGTTTGTATTTTGTCCTAGTGCTTGCAGTTTATATTGTGCTATCGATATTACCTCGAAGTGATCGTCTCTTAGATGCTCTGTTTACGAAAATATCGTGTAATGATCGACATGGAAGTGTTTTAGAACAAATTATGAAAGATGTTCGAGAACGTTTACTCATCATAGAAGATTTAATACTACACCAAGTTGCCAACGATGATCAAGGTATGAATATATTGTAGACGTAATTCGATTTCAGGCAAAATCAAATTGCATTTCCAGGAAACTTAAAAAATGCTTGAACCAATTTGAGATTTTGATCAGACACATTTAACCCTTTATCCTCGGATGTCCACACGCGTGGACATTGATAAAATCGCTATACAAAAATAACGAAGTGTCATATCAAAACCGGATTGTGTTCCAACCTTAGAAACTTTATAAGCTCTCGATTGGTAAAGAAGAAGTTGTTTTCTATGAGTCTTGACTGAGATAATTAACTTTTGAAATTAAACAGTTCAAATTTTTGAATTTTTTAAAAAGCTTTTTCCTTAGCTTTAGCAATACAAGGATTTTCGAATGTAGTGATAGATAACTATTGCTACAATTACACAAGAAAAGAAATTTTCTATGAAATTGTCTTGATGCACCGTGTATAGTAATGAAATGTCCACACCTGCAGACATTACGGGGGAGTGACATAGAAAGTACTAATTTTTAAACCTATACACATTCTTTCTTTCTCTTCTTTTCTTTTCAGCTGTAGAATTTTATTTTGCGCTTTTTCTGCCATAGTTGAATAGAGCACGTCGAGCTGCATAAAAAAACTTAATCGCCCAATTTTGGTACATATTTTTCAATTAAAAAAATTTTAAATATCGACTTTTGAAAAATAAGTGAAAATAGGCAAAATTTTGAATAAAACTCAAAACTCAACCATTCATTCTATTTGTAAAGTTCCAAAACAATTTTTTTCTTACTCTTCATCTAAAACTCGGTCTAGAAAACGGATTTCGGAAATTTTAAAACTCAAATTGCCTTCAAGAACCGTTGCAGGCGAGCAGGATGGCAAGAAGTCCGCTGGCTAATCTTGCAAGCCTATTTAATTCTAGGATTTGGAAGATAAAATTCTCTTGAATTGATGAAAAACTCTGAAATTAGACCTGTACTTTGTCATTTTAACAAAAACAAGGCCATATTCGGATTCAGGGTCAAGGAGTGGGTCGAATAACATGGGTGCCAGGAGTTTTGACTGACCTTGAAGTTTTTCGTTTTTTTCAAAAATCCAAAACCAAAATTTTCACTCAAACTCCAGATATTTCTCCAAAACACTGACACCCATGTCATTCGACCCAGTTTTGGATTCTGATTCCGAGTATGACCTTGTTTTTCTCAAAATGTTGAATTTTAACCGAAAAAGTTCGGACAATACAAAGAAAAAACTGGCGTTTTTCATGTTGTTCCCTCCTAATATCCACGCCTGTGGACATTCTATGTTCTGTCACCTAGGCAACTTCATTTTATTTTAAGTATGGAATGGGCTTTAATGTAGATTTTCACTCGTTATTTTATCACTTCTTTGCCGCCTAAGAGGCCGTCAGAGTTACAACTGACTGAGAATTTTTGAACTGGACCGAGATGACTGACAATGGGTCGCTGAAAAAGTACTTTTAGCGGATAAAAACCGACCGTTTAAACCATTCAGTTTCTTCTCAATCAACAAAAAATCACTTTCTTTCTGTTAGGAAAAAAGTTCTTGGTGACAATCACTGGAATATAAGATACAAGATATTTTAATGGTTGCGTTTTTCCTGGTTAGAACGAGGTTCCCTTTTATCTAAGTTGTTGTTCTTTTTTGACTTTTCTAATTTTCCTTTTCTCAAAAATATTAAATTTTTTAAACAGTTCATTCGGTGAAACCGGCAAAAACACCAGTCGGATCAAATAATTCAACTGGTGCGGACCGCTAACTAGTTCAACTGATCTTTCTTCTTCCAGTTTTTCTAACGCCCAGCTGTATACAGGTATGCACCGGGACGGGAATCCCGAACTTGAAAATCGCTAGTCGCTAAAGTCGGGAATCCCGTTCATCGAATTGTAGAACAGCGCAGTACCTCTAAACTTTTCTGGCATAGAGGAAAAAGATCTTTTATCTTAAATTTTAAGTTTTCTGTCGCTTGCCCCTCTGTAGTAAGAATTTTCCTTTTTAAAGGCATTAGGTATCGCTAGAAATTAGACATGTTGCAGAACCTCAAAAAAATGTATTGTCATGTGTTTTTCTTTAAAACTTAAAGAAAGATCTACCTTTTATGAAACGCAGTCAGTTGCGGTTATTGGCGAACTTATTATTACTTATGGTTTTACGCCTGATAGTTTTTTAACACTTTAGCCCGCATAAGCCTTGAAATCGACCAACTCAATTATTATTATTTTATTGGCTCAATGCATCCAGAACTCATCAGAGTTATCTTATTCGGTGCTGTCGACTTTATGAAATGCTTCCGATTGAACGTATAC